ATTCAGCAGAATGGGGTCAGGTCTGTCTGCAGTGACTTTCTGGGCTCCCCACGAGTGCTCAGGAGTCTGGGCAAACCCTCCTGCAGTTCTTTGCACAGCAAACAGCTGGGCACATCTGCAGGGGTGGGCCCCACAGTCAGTGTGGGGCAGCAGCAATGGGACTGGAGCTGCTCTCACTGGGGAAAAGTAATTCATCACTGGATATATACCCAGAGCTGACTGGTTTATTTCAAAACCCAGGAAGCCATAGCTTTGTAAAGATCATTATAAAAATAATGATTTTATCAATTATGAACAGTGAGTGAAATTGCACAGTGAGTTCCCATGGCAAACTCATCACCTGGGCTTTCCCAGTGCAGTCTTTTACATCAGACACTAATTAATATCTAACTGATCTCACCAAGAACAACTGCTCAGTGTGCCCATCAAGTTCAATGCCTTGCCTTCTACATTTCCAGCTCTTAGAAAATAGTATGGTTTAGTGTCTTAGGGTGGAAAATGCAAGATGTGGCTGGGGGTGTGTATTCTATTTGCCATCTCTTAAAGGTGGGACAGTTCTCTTCTCTTCATTGGACAGTTTTCTTTCTCTCTTCCACAACCAATCCTCCCTCTGGGAAATATCTTCTGTTCATGGGCCAGTGAGTGTCACTGCATGGCTGATCAAATTCCATCATCCCATTGGGAGAAGCTCCACCCAGGAGGAGGAGCCAAGCATTCCTACCTGGATACAATCGGAGATTTTGGGACACCACAGCAGCCTTTTTCCAACTGCATTCCCAGAGGAGCAGCTTTCTTCTCCCCTGCATTCCCAGAGGAAGAGCAGACCCATCTAAACCACCCCTGGACCTTCAGAGGAAAACTCCTCCCTTCTGCAGGATCCCTGCTCCAACAGAACCACAGCTGGCACTGCAGGAGGGCTGAGCCACCATGGGATGGGACTGTGCCACCACCCTGACCCACAGGTCCTGCTCTGACTCTGGCTGTGGGTTTTGCGGTTTTTCATTTGTACTGTTACATTTGTATTTTTAGTTTTTCTAGTAAAGATCGGTTAGTCGGATTTTAAATTCAAAATTTAACAATTTGAAGGGAGGGGGTTGACATTTTCCATTCCAAGGGAGGCTCCTGCCTTCCTTAGCAAACAGCTGTCTTTTCACACCAAGATAATTTAGCTGATGATTTAGCTGATTTTGTTTGTCACCACTCTCCTTAAACAAGGACCACAGCACAACACTCAGAGTGCTGAACAATCTCGTGCATTTCCCAACCCTACCCCAGCTGTTATGCAATAAATTGGTAAAAGTGCTTAAACAGCTTTAGCAGGCTTGCCTGAAGAGTTAACAGAGCAGTGGTACAAGGTACATTCATGGATAGCTCTTTGTCACACTGGAAATTCAGCAACCAATGGCCCAAACAGCTGGAACAGAGCAGTGAAATCATCTGGAACTGAGGATACCAAATGCAACCATTTATTCCAGGAGAGGAGGGACAGCTTTGGACTCTGGTTAGTCTGGTCCAAGCACTGAACGTCCATTAGCACCAATCCCAAGGATTTCCAGAGGGAATATTGCAATTTAATTTAATATAAAGGCACACACAGAAAATAGAGAGCAGGAGATCTGCTCTGACAGCCCAATCCCAATCCTAAATAAAACATTCCCATAAATGCAGTGTTGTGCCTGCCTGGAACACTGGATTGTATTTTCAGTGACAGTGACTGTGCATAAAGAGCTAGAAAAAGACCTGCTTTACATTAGAGCCAAGCAAGAAAGGCACAGAGGGGCACAGAGCCTCCAGTTTGCCAAGCCCAGGGCTGTGTAAATCCAAATTGACCATGAACATTTTCATTAACAGGCTCAAACCCCCCCCCCCCCCGACTTCTATAAAACACAAACATGTGCTTTTAGCCCTCTGATTTAGACAGATCTCCTAATACACATATTTTGTACCTCGGATTTATTTGTATCTTAGAGACAAAGGAAAACAATATCCTAAAAAGAACATAATATTTCATCTTCCAGGCAATTCTTCTGAATTGAGAAATTATAGCTCAAGGGCCTATTGGGGGGGATGCTCAGAATTTGAGAACAAAATAACTTGGGTGACACCTAGTGGGAAAATAAGAAATCACTGGTGAAAATGTGTATGGGGAAAACGACAAAGAGGGAGGTTCTCAATGAGAACAGGAGGGAGGAGAGAGAATTTCTTGATAAAATGGATGGAGTATAATTTGAGAGTATAATTTAGAAGAATTTCCTAAATGGCAAGACTTTATCTGCCTATGGAATAATCTGAGGAAATGGGATTTTGGATTTGACAGAAGCAAAACTACATTAGGCAAAACCCCCATTAGCAAAATCACAGTAAATGTGCAGCAGGAAAAAATGTGGACAGGAGGAAACTCTGAGCCCTCCTAAGTGGAAATACCCAGAAGGCTTTGCCAGCCAGTTCTGCAGAGTGAAGTAGGTAAGAGGAAGATTTTGGCCTTCAGGCAACAATAGCTCCTGATTTGAGAGAAACCACAGTTTTTCTTTAACTCGTTTCTTCCAGCAACATTCCTTGATGTGAAAATGAATTTTGTGATTGATTTTTTTTTTATTCTTCTTCTTGCTTATTTGTAAAATTCATTAATTACCAGTGACTCACATCCAATTACAAAGATCTATTTTGGTTAGTCTCCTCTCACCAACCTATTTGAAAGTACAGAAGAAGAGAATTAATCAAGGTGAGAGATTTTAAGTGAGAAGATGTCCATTGGCAGTGTGGGGTGGGCAGTTTTTTCAGCACTGGGAATGGAAAGAGTGCTTGAGAAAACTCCTGCCTTTCTTGGTCAAGAACAGGTCACTGTCAGCAATAAATTACTGGAACTCCTTAAAAGTGACTAGAAAAGAGAATGGCATCTTCTGGCTGAGTTTGCTCTCAGCAGGTCAGGCATTTGATCTGCTCATTCATCTCCAGCTCGCAGCGTTTATTCTGAAGCAGGAGAAGAGCAGTAATCTCCCTCAGCCCTTTCCTCCCTGAATGATCACTCACAGCCCCCACAGAACCCACTGGAGGAGTCAAGGCCTCCAAAGAAAGCTGATCCAGAGAAAAAGGCTTTCAGGGGAGAGGTGAGAAGAGAGGGGTTGTCTGGGACATACGAGTGTCCAGAAATCCCTCTCTACTGAGAGGAGACAGAGTGTCTCTCATTCACAAAACTTCAAATGGATTCTCTCTGTGGAAAAAAATTACTTTCATACCCTAACAAGATTATAGCAGATTATAACTATTTTTTTTTCAAATTGTCTCTTAATAAATCCTCTTAAATGAAGAATCCTCATTTGGCTTACAAAAAGCTACAGCCCTAAAATCAGAAATGCAAATGCCTGGTGCCTCTGGCTTCCACTCCCTGCCCACCCTGAGCTCCACAGGGAGCTGGAGCAGGGGACAGGGCTGGGGGCTCAGCAGGAGCAGCTGGGCACATCTGGGCACCTCTGCCACTCCCGGGACACCTGGAGGAATGCAGGACTAACTGAGCACAGAATGGGAGTGTGGATTCCAGGGATTCCAATGTGCAGGGATTCCAGTGCAGAAGGACAGAGGATTTGATTTCAGTGAGTGACAGGAAGGTTTTGATTCTGTGGCACAGACTGTGCAGGCACGGGGCACACAGACGTTTATGGAATCCATGGATGTGCTCCCCAAAGGCAGGGAAATCATCCCGAGGGTGGGAGGACCATTAGCAGCCACTCACAGCCACCCCACACCTGACAGGCAGATGAACTGCTCACCTCAGCACCGCAGGAATCATCTCCTCAGCTCATAGAAAAGATCCAAATTCTAACAGGCTTTGAAGAATTTTTGTTTTTTTATCCCTGGCACAGTCTGAATTGCCTTTTCAAATGCTAAAGAGCAGAGATACAAAATAAAGCATTTCCTTAAGGAAGTTCCAGCTCCTGGTAACTCACTAACCTAATGAAGAAAAGTTCTTTAAAAATAAGTAAAAATTAGACAACACAAATTGCTGTCAGGTTAATTTATACACCAGAAATTTTCTTTCCTCCCAGGAACAGCCTGTTATAAAGGGACAGCTCAACCACAGCTCGGCTGCACATGAAAACCTCACCTGGGCTTCGTTTCCAAAAGCAGAACAGAGCTCCAAGCCTGTCCCCAAACCAACACTACACAGAACTGGCCTGAATGGAGCACCAGACCCGCAACCAGCTGGGTTTCCAAATGCCAGCTGCCATTGGAATTCTTCTGTGCTCATGGCTGGTAAAGCAAAGGAAAACCTACATTCAAAACTTTGCACACCCAACCAAATTGAAAAGCAAATCCTATTTTTGCTTTCCCTTCACACAGACATGGCATTCTGTGTTTAGATGAACAGATACATGTGTATTACAAACTTGTATAACCCTAATTTACTGGCTTTGCAGCCAAATACACACAGATATTTCAGAAACCAGTTGGAGTTATTGTTTTTGAACACAGGTGACCCAAATTAAATACTGTATTTTGGGTGACTTCAACACAATTTCATCTATCTCAGTTCAATGGCATTGATATTTCCTTTCTCTGTTCCTGCCTTTCTCTATCCCTTAATGATGTCACCTGCCTATAATGGTTATTTTGATGTTATGGTGTGCTTAGATAAGTTTTATTGAAATGGTGAGAAGGCAGATATTAAACAAATCTGGCTGACTAATACAAAAAAACTCAATTTCACAGGCTAACTTCATCTCCCTCATGTGCTGGGGCTTGTGTGTCTCAGCAGCTCAGGCCAAACTAACTTTTATACCTGGATATTTATTTTCTGGGGGAAAAAAAAAAAAAAAACAAAAAAAAAAAAAACCACCACCACAAATTTCAGAGGAGTTTTTCCAGATCCTGTCAGATACAATAGGGAAGACACATTAGGAACAAAACAAAAATCCCAACTCATTTCCTCTCGTCTGCAGCAAGCACAAGACCCACCCCAAGCACTTTATGCCACAGCACAACCATAAATAGCAGCTCTGGGAGCTGCCCCCTCCTGCACAGGACAAAGCTCATCTCCCCTGCCACACTTCCCTGGCAGTCTGAGCACTCAGCCTGCCCTGCAGCCACACTGCAGCTCTTCTGCAGGCACAGGAAAGGCATCAGGAGAGGCTACACAGGGTAAGTGTCAGCCAGGCACCTCCCCAGCTCTCCCTTCTGCGTTTCTGACACAGTTCTGGTTTCTGTTTGAGTTTGGCTTTCTTGCTGTTTCTACATTTAATCAGAAGAGATCATAATTTCCATAAATATAACTTAACTTGCTTTAGCCAGCTGTCATAGCCTGTCCTTCTAAGATGTTTGCTTGGGGGAAAAGAGCTCTGGTAGATTTCTTGGAAAATCATGGATGAGTATCTGGGTTCAGAGCAAAGATACCCAGAATACCCAGTCCTAGATTTCAGTTTATCTTAATGGCTGCAATAGGCTTTAAGGATGAACAAAACAAAATGTAATGTATGTACCAATGTTAAAAATTGGTTAATGAACCATCCCAGCAAAAAAAAAAATTGGGGGTGGGGGAGGTGGATGGAACCACAATGCAGAAGGTAAATGATGACTGTCAAGAGCAGAGTTAAGTCTGGGCAGTTATGGAAGAACACGTGGAAAAGAAAGTAAGCAACAGGTGGCACAGGACACAAAGAAGAACCACAGGGTATTTGTCAACTCACTGACAAATACACAGGAGATGGTTGAGTACTTTACCTTCAGAAAGAAAGATGATTTTCAGACATTTACAATTATTCAGTCCCTTAAGCTTCATTTTGAAAACTGGTTTAAACACACAATTTTAACACTAGATCTATGACGATATGGAAGCAGAATAGAAACATTTGCCTAAAACTAAATTGTTTTTTCCTATCATCTCCTGGTGACATTCTGTCCCAGAAATTTGATCAATAACTTTTTGCACAATTGTGAAGGGAAAACAATGAACCAGAGAGGAAAGGGAAGAATTGTACTCTGTCTTCAACGTTTATGCTGAAGATGGGGAGAGTGGTTCTGTGGGACATGCAGAAAGCTAAAGATTTGTCATAGCTGAGACCGAGACACTACAAAGCAACACACTCCATTTCCAGAAGGCTTCAAACCCTGTTTTTATTCTAGCCTGCATGCTTTTTCTACATTCTTACAAAGCTCTTAAGTTTACACTTTACTCATTGGTCATGAGAGACAGGCAAAATGCTCATCGGAATAGGGAGTTGCAGGTTTCTCTTATTTATTCTTCTTTCTTTCTTGGTTTCTATGTCAATAGAAACCTTGGTAGAAAATTCTTGGTAGAAAATTCTTTCAGGGGTTAACATGGATCCTCTTATTAGACTTCCCAATGGTTCACAGGGGTTTCTGTAAAACCTCTTCCACAAAGATTTTACTCCAGAAACCTAAACCTGGATGTGGAACCACGCTAATAAACCTCAATTCTTGTTGTTTTTGCAGCTGGAGATGGAGCTGCTGGCCGTGCTGGGCTGTGCCCTGCTGCTCCCCAGGGTCCTGGGGGAGGATTGTCCACCCCAGTGCAGCTGCTGGTCCCTGGGGGAGCGCTGGGGCATGGGGGTGGACTGCAGCTCTCGGGGGCTGCGCGCCCTGCCCGCCCTGCCCCGCCTGACCCGCAGCCTGCACCTGCACAACAACAGCCTGGCCTCCATCCCTGCCGGAGCCCTGGACAGCCTGGGCCACCTGCAGGAGCTGCAGCTGGGGGACAACCCCTGGCACTGTGACTGTCACATCGTGTACCTGAAGCTCTGGCTGCAGGATTTCTCCGCGCCCGCGCTCGCCCAGCTCAGGTGCGCCAGCCCCGCTCCACTGAGGATGAAGCCCCTGGGGCAGCTGGCTGGGAATGATCTGGGTGTTTGTACCAGGCTTCTCCCAACCAAGAGCCTCCAGTTCTTCTGGCGAGACCTCATTTTAATTGCTGGAGCAGTAATTACCCTCCTTCTAGTGGCGTGGGCTCTGAAGCTCTCCAAAAAGCTGGTGTGCCAGCTCAGCCTCGGGAGCCGGCGGCTGAGGAGGAGCATCCCCAAAACCCACAAGGTGCTGTGAGCTCCTCCCTGCCACCAGCCTGGCAGAAACTCCAAACACCTCCACAACAAAAGAGCACTGGCAGCACTGGTTTGAATAGCCAAAAAGTTCAAAGTCTGGGTCCTCAGGAGTGTTTGATTTAATTTTCGTCCAAAAAGAAGCTTGGAGAAGTTTGGACAGGCAACTTCCATCCTGCTGCCATCTGCTCATATGAAGAGCAGTTTCCACATTTTTTAAATCTTTTAACTTTCAATTTTCCCACTGAATTCTCAGCTCTTATAGAAAGAAGATTTAAACCCCTACACTTTTTAATAAATGGAGATGAGCACCAACTGTGTTACTTTAAGAACTCCTTTCTCACTCAGGCTCTGAGTTTACAACCCATCAGCATCTCTCGGTGTCCCAGGGGGCTTGGCTGGACCATTCCTCTGTACAGGAAAACTCAGCCCTCTCTTCCTCAGGTTCAGGAGCTTCCTGCCACCAAAACCACCCAGATTACACAGACCAGACACTGAATGCATCCCTGATTGAATACAGTTAGAGATGGACTGGTAATGACAATATCATCAGCAAAATAATTTTAAATCTTAAGGAATTTCCTGGAGGGTGAACAATAATAAAGTATTCTATGTGGAACTGAAATAATGGATGCTTATTGAGCATTCATATTGACCCAAATTTGATCTTTTTCATGATTCCAAACATTTCTGATTCAATTTCTAAGATATTTCCAGAACTTGTCCTCTGGAAATCATTTTAGAATATTTCCCCTGCGCTGAGCTTTTCAATGTTTGAAAAGACAACCACCATTCTGTACAAATGCAGAATATTACAGAAGAAATGCACTCTCCCATCTCTTGTGGAATTTCCTACATGATGTTTCTTGTTTTCCCCAAAATGAGATAAATCAATCACACTAAAAGCTCATTAGTCTCTTCTGTGCCTATAAACTAAATATGCATAGAACAGTGAACTGCTTTACTACATGGGTTCAATAGTACAAATATTTTTAAAATGAGCAATTAGTGAATGTTTCTGCTTGCACCAACCAACACATCAAATAAGATGTACAGAATACACAGGAAAAAATAATTAAGAGAACTTTTCTGTCCTTATAAGAGGAAAGAGGAGGGAATCTCTTCCATGGCAGTAGCTCACGTTCTACCAAAACAGCCTTGTATTTATAACTTTTCATCCATTTGGGTTTTATCTGGGAAAAAAGCCCTCTGCAAAGGGGACAGCTGGAACTAAGTGAGGGTCTAAAGCAACACTCAGTGTTTATCTGGCAGGGCCACTGTGTCATGCTTAGCCACACGCTCCACCAAACTGCATAAATAACACCACAACTGCTAACAGCATGCAAAGGCAGGAAAATATGTCAGCTATCAAAGTGAAACACACAGGCAGCACTCCCAAAATGGGCTTGGAACAGCCCAGAAACTGTCACTCCATCCTGCCTGCAAGGGGCAAACTGGTGGCTGCATCTGCTTGCACAGTCTGGGAACACAGGTGTGACTGCTGGGATGAAAATAAAAAAATAAAATAAAATAAAATAAAATAAAATAAAATAAAATAAAATAAAATAAAATAAAATAAAATAAACTGGGTTTAACTGGGAAGTCCCACATTGTTACAGTGGGGTTTTCCTTCTGTCCTCTCCTCCACCCTCAACCCTTTGTCCCCCTGAGCTGCAGTGGTCCCAGCCCTTGGAGGACTCCTGGAATCTCAGAAAGTGATGTCACTTAGACCTAATCTAGCAGAAATTTTGCCTCTGCCTGGTGTCCTTTTTCTGTAATAATGCAGGTGGCAGCAGAACCACTGGGTTATAAGGAAATTACTGACAAATAACAGGGATGAATTCAGTGTCCAAAACTTCTCAAGCCAAGGATTTGTACTGAGTATTCTTTCTAAGTTTGCAGAGGCTACCCTTGCAATGAGGAAAATTGAAAATGTCTCCCTCATGGTGCCACCCAGCAGTGAAATGGTTTCTGTTCTGCAGCTGCTCGGCAAAGTGTGTGACTTTGTCACGTGTGATGTGCTCCTCACCCTGCGTGGGTGCTGCCTTTGTTATCAGCCAAGTTCCAGAACAAGCTGGGAAGAACTAGAAAACATAAACTGTAAGAACTAAACACTAATTCAATGTACAAAAGACATGCCAAATGCAGTGAAACAGGCTCTTGGCTGGTGTGTGCTGCCACTCTTCTATTCTAAATTAATTAGCCAATGCACATTCATTCTCATGCTGATTTATGTTTAAATGCACTGTTTGGGGAATTATTAAAATACAATTTGAGGCGTCACAAAACTGCTATTCTTCCTGGAATCTTAAGGAAGGCCCACACACTTGCATGTTATGATTTATACCTGAATTACAGGATTTTAGTTTCACTGCCAACAGATGAAATATTAACAATTCCTACCTAATGACTCCTTTGATGGTGCTAAGTTTACTGTAATGCTTAGCAATGCTAAGTTTATTTATCCTAATGCCTTTTCTTTCCAGAGCACAAAACCATTTCCCAAAGTGCTGCGGCCCTGTCGCTGGAACCCACATAAATATTTTGCCATTAGACTGACTCCACTGAAATTCAGATTACACTCAATAACGGGTGTGTGACAACAAATAAAATAAAATAAAATAAAATAAAATAAAATAAAATAAAATAAAATAAAATAAAATTGCTCCAGTTGCATAATGGCCACATGGCTGCTATTTATACCGAGCTCCTTCCCAGGGGCACTTGGCTCCTGACGTGGCCTCTCCACTGCCTTCCCCGGCAGCAATTCCCAATGTTCATCCCAGTGATGTCACAGCTACTGCCTGACCTAGCACCTTCATTTTAGCCAAAAGAAATGTTAGAGTTTAGAATTTTGCTCAGATTTCATTTGGTTTGGCTTGTCTGACCAGCAAGCATCCAGATCTCTAGCAATCCAAAGTTATTAAAGTTGAATGGTGCTGTTCTGCATCAAGACATTCCCTGGGAAAGGTGGACTGAAACCTCTTCCCTCAGAATACTATTAAGGAATAGGTCTTCAGAAATACAGAGCATTCATCTTAGTCCAAGGGGAAAAAATTCAAATGAGGCTCTTTCTTAAATGACCTTGATCTCTAGGGAGGGGGGTGTCAGCAGGGATGGATTGCAGCTTCCCTTTTCTCCTTGAATCATCTGTCTTGTCTCCTCTTGAGGGGTCAAAAGGGTTTTAACCTCTTAACTAATAATTTATTTTTTGACAAAGATTCATAGATTGCCTCTTATGGCCATGGGGAAGGACTCTGGAACCTGACACATCCAAATAAAATCGACCTTTGCAACCCTCTCCCATCAGCAGCAGTGCAAAGCAGAGGAAGGTCTGGCAAAGGACACACCATCAAAGGCTGCCCTCAAGACAACAGAGCATTTAGAACTGAGAGTATTTTTGATTTCCCTGAGTTTGAAAGGACACTGCAAAACCCAGTAATGTAACGTTCAGGTGCACTTATCAAAAGCTGGATTAGGGAAAGACAAAAACTAAACCACCAGCAATTACAGCATGAGGAGACAGTGTGGCTGGACAGTGGCCAGGCAGAAAGGGACCCGGGGGCACTGGTCACAGCCAGCTGAACATGAGCCAGCAGTGTGCCCTGGTGGCCAAGGAGGCCAATGGCTCCTGGCCTGCGTCAGGAAGAGCGTGGCCAGCAGGAGCAGGGAGGTCATTCTGTCCCTGTACTTGGCACTGGTGAGGCCGCACCTCGAGTGCTGTGTCCAGTTCTGGGCCATCAGTTTGGGAAGGACATTGAGTCGCTCGAGCACATCCAGAGGGGGCAACGAGGATGGTGAGGGGCTGGGAGCACAAGGCCTGGTGAGGAATGACTGAGGGAGCTGCGGGTGTTTACCCTGGAGAAAAGGAGACTCCGAGGTGACCTTATCACTCCACAGCTCCCTGAAGGGTAGTTGTAGTCAGGTGGGGTTGGTTTCTTTCTCCAGGCAGCACTGACAGAACCAGAGGACGCAGTCTCAAGCTGCATCAAGGGAAATGTAGGTTGGATATTAGGAAAATGTTTTCCACAGAAAGAGTGATAAAATTCTGGAATGGCCTGCCAGGGGAGGTGGTGGAGACACCATCCCTGGATGTGTTTAAAAAAAGACTGAAAGTGGCACTCGGTGCCATGGTTTAGTTGTGGTGTTGGGACATGGGTTGGACTGGATGATCTTGAAGGTCTCTTCCAACCTGGTCATTCTGTGAATTTTTCCACAGAAAGAGTGATAAAATTCTGGAATGGCCTGCCAGGGGAGGTGGTGGAGACACCATCCCTGGATGTGTTTAAAAAAAGACTGAAAGTGGCACTCGGTGCCATGGTTTAGTTGTGGTGTTGGGACATGGGTTGGACTGGATGATCTTGAAGGTCTCTTCCAACCTGGTCATTCTGTGAATTCTGTATGAATTCTGAGCATCTCCAGAGACACAGCCTGACCAGCAATGTCAGTAGGTGAAAAATAAGGTTTCACTGAGGAATGGCCCTTTGATGAAGCAAAACATTTACAATCAGGGCAGTCCATTCATAGAGATGGGGGCACACTCTGGGGGTACAGCTGAGGCCATGAGGTCACAGCAGGGCTCTGGGGTCACAGCAGGCTGAGCTCACAGCAGGCCCTGAGGTCACAGAGGTGCCAGAGGTGCCAGAGCCCCGTGGTTGCACAGCAGATGAAGCAAAACATTTACAATCGGGGCGGTCCATTCATGCGGGCGGGCGCACACTCTGGGGGGAGAGCTGAGGCCATGAGGTCACAGCAGGGCTCTGGGGTCACAGCAGGCTGAGCTCTCAGCAGGCCCTGAGGTCACAGAGGTGCCAGAGGTGCCAGACCCCATGGTTGCACAGCAGCACAAGGAGCCAGCAGTCAGTCCCTGAGCACAACTGTTGCGGCAGCAGCGGCGGTGGCAGCAGCGGTGCTGACGTTGGGACAGCGGTGTCGGGACAGCGGTGGCAGCAAGAGCTGCGGGACTGGCAGAGGGCAAGGCAGCATGGCCCTTGCTCTGCGCCTCCTCCTCCTGCTGCTCCTGGCCGAGGCCCTGCCTGCCAGGGCTGCCCAGGCTGCTCCGCTGCAAGCGCGGCGAGCAGGTGAGCCGGCAGCCTGGCTGCCCTTTCACGGGACAGCGCTCCCTGCTCCCTGGGAAGCACTGGGGATGGTTTTGCCCCGGGCTTTAGGGAGGGTTTCCTGTGTGGGAGGGAGAGAGACCCCACGGGCCCTGGGCTACTCCAGGCACCCCTCCCAGATATGTTGCAAAGGGCCTGCAAAGAGGTTGGAGAGTGACCAAGAGCCAGCCCAGAGCTCCCCAGGCCC